CCCCAAAACCCCAAAACCCCTTTATGCAAATTTTACAATAAGTTTTAATTTGTAATTAAATCAAGATTAAATTAATTCAATTAAAAATATCATCTCTGAGCTCAATGTCTAGTGCTTATAGCTATTTTACCTCATCTAATTATTCTATCATTTTGATTTCTCTCTCGTTTACTATCATATTATCAGAAACTTCTCTTGTCACAATCCTCTTTTTGATAATGTGATTAGGCTAATCCTATTGTCTTTTGAATTCCTTATCTATTACTTCCCTCAACTTTCGATCTTTTTTCTTTTACTTCTTTTTTTACCTATGATCATTATGATTGCCTTTAACATTGCTTTATTGCTTTTATTGGCTAGTTTCTTGAATTTAATTTTGTCTTTATTTTAAGAATTCCTTATATTTTTTTGATAGTGGATCTTACTCAAGAATGTTTAATTTCCTTGGAATATTATCCTAATCAGTTAATGTTTTTTGAGTTTTATCTGTATTTTCCTCTGATTTTTTATTCAAAATCTCATTTTTGTACTATTCAAATACCTAATCGTTAAAGTGTCTCTAAGGATGTTCGAAATATCTATCTTTAAGTTGCTTGAATTCATCTGTTATGTGCTCATTTAAATATTATTACTCATCGATTAAATTTGGTTTCTTTTACTAAATTAATGCATGCTTTTCTTACTTAGTATTCTGCATTTTATATTTTAGTTTCTCCCCTGACAATAACTACTTTTAATTGCCTTATAGCTATTCATCTTCTGCTGTAATAACATTATATTAGCTTGAATGCATAATGTGCTGTATAAGACTTTCTTTTCCTATTAATTTTCCTTTTCCTTAATAGATATCTTCTAGTTACTGTTATTCAGTGTCATTTTATATATTGTATTACGAAATCAATTCACTCCTCTCATAATCCGTCAATTCTTGATCTTCGTCACTCACATTAAACAACTAGAAAATAAACTGATAAATATAGATTTCATTACCTGCCTAAGCCTCTCTCTCATTTTTTACATTTTGCTTTAATCTCTCTTCAAAATATCTTCACCTATTATTACTATTAAGATATGGAAGTTACCTTGTTTAAAATTAATGCTAAAATCAGATAACGAATTATCATAGGCTTTATAAGGGCTAATTGGATTTTTTAATGTCAATTTCGAGGAACTTTTCTTTAAGGAATCGGATTGCTTATTAGACTAAGATTCTTCTTACATCATGGATTTTCCATCCTCGAGATCTGCTTAAGTTTCCTGAATTCTTCTAAATATCTTATAATCAAAAGGAGTAATTTTCTCAGATGCTTTATCTTCATTTTCTTTGTATTGGTTTTTGCCATCCTAAGTGATGTTTTCAACTACAAATGATGACTTGGAATTTTTCAATATTGATGTTTTAGGCATCTTATTTATTTGAGTCTACATCTTTCTTAAATTCCTAGAATTATTAGGATCAAGGTAATTTTCATCTGAGATATAAGAAAAATCCTCCATTTAATTTCCCAATTAACCCAAAATGCGATCTCTTGGCAAACGAGTTGGAGACTATAGCTAAGAAAAGAATACTTTCTTCTGAGATTTGGGAGATTCGTTCAGATTTTTAATGTTTAATGGTGATATATTATTCAGATTCATTATATAGCGAGGCATTTAAGATTCATCTAGCATTTCCTCAGATATCTTTATCGGATTTATACTAATATGCTGGTTGAAATTAATTTTGAATTTTGTAAGGTTATTTTGTTATATGATTTTCCTATTTTTTAAAAGCTTGCTCGACATCATTGAATTTTCATAACTAGTATCATCAAGCTCAAATTCATCTTGCTAATTGTTGATTCGACCTCTGTTTATTGATTTCGGATCATTAAAGTTTTTCGATTTTTTAATTTCTTTCTATTGCTGTTGTTAAGGCAAAATATCTCTCTCTGAATTCTCACTTTACTCATTAGTGTGCAAGGACTTTCTGGAACTAAGGTACTTTTCTTTGTTTGATTTCTGAAGTTTATGTTGATTAAAATTTATCTAAATTTACCATTATATGATGACTACTGTTTTCTAAAGCAGATGATTAATCCCCGAAATCCATTTTTGAAGTATCTGAGAAAGCACCAGGAATAAATGGTTTTCCTTTCACTTTTTTAATTCTTATTCTTGGAGCTATTGCTGGATAATTACGGCTTGGGATAGAAAAATCAAAATCGACAAACAATTAATTGGCACTTTGAAATTCAGATTTTTATCTTTGCTCAAATTTCCTATCTAAAATATTTAATATTACCATTTATAATTACCTCTCTAAATTCTTCCTTCTATATTATAGGAACTTTTTTTAGGAGTCATATCTATATGGCATCTGCTTTACTAAACAAATGACAATAATTTCATGAAATTTTCATGGCCGAAATAATATTGCCTCTATTGATACATTCCTTTCATCTCTTTGAAAACTATTGTTAATTATTATAACTTAAATCTATACAAAATTGAATTTCTTCTATATTTTCAAGGATCTCTTCCATCTTTAGTGTCTGATAGAAAGAATAATTCTCTTACTCTAATTTATCTTGCCTACAGCAAAGACATACAGCAGCATATAGTTTAGGATAATTTTCTCTAAACATTACTCTTAAAATTTGATAGAATTTTAGAATCCAAATTAGTGCAAAGACAAAGTTAGAAGTTAAAATAATTAAGAACAATATTACCTGGCCTCTCTCATCAATAGTGAAGTCTTTGTTTGGGTCAAAATCTAGCGCATTCTTATTTTTTGAAGTTAAGAAAAATAGCCCGCAATAAATTGTGATCATTGTGGTTGTAAGTGAAATTTATTCAACATCATTCAATCCTCTGTTTAAAAATGGTCTCTTCATATTATGAACTTATAGGAAAAAAACAAGAATAAGGAAAACAAGCAAAGCTTAGACTATAATACCAAATGATTTGATGACTACTGCTATGATTATCAGTGCAATTTTTCTATACATAATAATAGGCTCCCTATTATTTTTAAAAGCAAAAATTTACCAATAATAGCAACTCTTTTTATATCCTTTATATAGAAATCCAAATTTTTGTTTGGTGTCTAGTGCATCTAATTTCTCTCTGTATTTTCTCAAAATGATAATTCCATAAAATGGAATTCCCAAACCCCAAAGTAAAAATGAAGGAAGAGCAATGTAAAAAGTCACATTAAAATGCATCCCTTAGTAGCAAAGAACTTATAAATCTCTGAATAGTCTTCTATCTCCATCATAATTTGGACAACTATATTTAATTATGGAATATTTTCTCTTACTTAAACATATTTATCATATATTGAGTAATCGTAGGATGAAACAAGAAGAAGATAACAACATTGGTTGACATAAAAAATGACTCAAATTCTCCATATAGATTCTTATATTTTAAGTAGACATATAAGACGGCTGCTATATTTATTGCACAATATATAGGTAGCAAAGATAAAAATGTTATTTTTGAGTAGATTATTCTCCATTCCTATAAATCTGCGTTTATCTAATTCCTATCAACTGTATTTGACTCTCTTCTATCTATAAAGCAATCAATTGATACAATTTATTCTGAGGATGAGGCTATTGGAGATGGACTATCAAAGAATGCCTTCACATAACTAGGCCATTGAAAGTCAAATTAAGAGCAGAGCACCAATAATTGAAGATGATTCATGAATATCTTAAAATAAACTGAATGGATCTTTTTTGTATTAGCAGAATTATAGTTTGATCTTACCATCATAGTTATCATAAAAACTAGGAAAGTTACAATCGCAATAATTCTCATAATATTTAAATAGAGCTCTGGACATCTACTACATTCTATCTCACCATTTTTTTAATAGCCAGGCATGCAAACAGAGCATAGTGGCCCAAGGTATTAAGAGAGACATTCACCTCTTGGATTATAATCTGGGGCTAGCATTCCTAAACAAGCCTCTGTTTTTGGGCAATTTTGAAAGTTATTAGTTAGATTACTTTTTCTCCAAAATCCAGGTTTAGGACCTATTCTATCTCCTCCAAGACATATTGCTTTAACACTATTGCATTCTAAGCAATCAGTTGGAAAGAATGGTGGCTCGATCAAATAAAATCCTACTGGACAATCAAAACACTCACCACTATCAGACAAGCCTTCTCCAGATTTGCAAGATCTTAGTTTAATGACTACTTAAATCTGATATTCTTTCAAAGTTTTATAAGTATTAAAGTTATCAGGGATATTCATGTCTATCCCATTTGAAGTAAGTGTAAATTCCGAAGTTTAATTTGGCCCTCCTAAAATTATTAATCCTGAAATATTAAATGTCCCATTCTATGCGTAAAATGTTGTGATTCCACTGATTGATGTGGTAAAATTTGTCTATCTCAAGTTTCTTTTCTTAGAGATAACATTCAGAGAAATCTTTGAGGTGCTATCTAATCTCATTACTTCTCCGTATTTATCTACAAGAACTACATAAAATGCTTCTACTTCCCCTCCACTTCTCGATTGGGGTGCGATAATTTAAGTTTACTCCAGTGTTGTATTAGATTTCGAATTATACTGCTTTATTTGAAATCCGACACCAGAGTAGTTATTGCCATAAAGATATGCTTTGTTTTTATAAACCATTCCTCCTATTGGTTCTTGAAAGTTCCAAAAGATTCCCCCTCCTTGAATTTCAGCAATATTTTCTGTAATTTGAGTACTTACTCCTAAATCTAATGAACATTCAATTAACTTATCCTGTTAACAATAGTAATAAATTCCACCACCTTTTTGTAAAGCATGATTATTTTTTACTTAGGAATCTATCAGATTCAACTTTTTGACATTATGAATATATATCGCTCCACCTTGCATAGCTAAGCAATTCTATATTTAAATTCTTGTTAAAGAATAAGGTTTATCTAATAAGTTTGTCTTTTTAAAAGTATCAGATACTTAAATAAAAATTGCACCACCGTCTTTGCCTCTTAGATTTTTGAAAACTAAATCAAGCATTGAAATATCATACATTTCCTCCAAGTATAGTCCACCAGAAAAATCCTAAAGTATCATTTAATTTTCTTTTAACACAACAGATTCATCGTAAAATCTGCTACTAGTAATCCTCAAGATAGTCTCTTTACAATAAAATGAATTGCTTTATAATGACTCAAACTAAGTATTGTCAATTAGAATACCATTATCAGTATAAGATACATAAACATTGCAACCAAGATTTTATGTGCATCGGTTTGATAGGAATTCAGAATTTATAATAGTCAATCCTTTTATTCTGCTTGCATATATTGCACCGCCAGATAAAGCCAAATTTTATTTAAATTTGGACCCTTCAATATAAAGATTAGCATCTCCTAGCATGTATATTGATCCTCCATTAGTAGCCTAAATAAATGAACAATTAAAACATTACCCATCCATCCTGAAATGAACAATTCAAAATAATTGTATTAGTCTGAGATGAAATAAAAATATGAGATCCTTTAATTTGCTTGGCATCAGAACTTTTCGTAAAATCTTGACCAGGCTAATGAGTAGTATAAAATTAAGACCTTGTAATAGTTAGGTTTGAATAAATCGCAAAAATAACATTTGTTTTTTCTTTTGCCTAATTTCCACTAAACAAACAATCTTCTATAAGTAAATCAGTAAAAAGAAGTGAAATAATTGCTGATCCACTAGAAGCAATATTTCGAAGAAACTGGGTCCTCTTTATGTAATTACCCTTTAAGATTTAAGAGATAAAATATTACCTGAGCTGGAGACAATGAGTAAATTACAGCAGCAGTCTCAGCTTAACAGTTTTAGAATGAAGAATCCTCGATGTAATAATTGCTTTGAGATAGTGCATAAATTGTTGCAAAGTAATGAGCATTATTATCTATGATTCTTGTATTTTAGCTAAGGTATAGTTTACTATATTAATCAATGACTGCAACTGATGATTGATCTGCAAAATTATCTTGGATAATAGTGTCCTGTATCGATATTGTTGCTTTATCTTTCATGTAAAAAACACCTCCATTAAAAGCTGAATTTTCATAGTAGCTTGATTTGTAATCTGTAATATTAGAATTCTAATCAGCATATATAACTCCTCCATTTAATGATCCATGACATTAGGTGTACTAATTATTTGACAAAGATATTTATCCACCAGAGAAATACAAAGGGGGACTTAATGATTCTGCAATAACTTATTATTAGATTTAGATTTTCATTCGATTTTAATTTTATCCAATGTAATAACAGTAAAATTTAGATTTTGTAATTTCTACCTCGCTATTCCCTTATTGATATATGATTGATGCTTTTAAAATCTAAGTTGGATTAATGTCATTGAATGAAGTTGAATTTACTAAAAGTTTTTTAAGTTTTGGTCCAACATAAATTTCATTTGAGTAGAGATTGCCAAAATTACTTTGAAAACTTGATAAACTAATTTTAACTTTAATCCAATCATTAGAGTTAAGATTCATCAATACTTGACAAGTATTATTCAAGAAAATGTTCTAAGTTATTACCAGATTATAATCTACTGAGGATCCACCATTATCATTAACTTCAGTTAGACCTATTATTGCTCCATTTGGTAAGTAATTAAACTTAAAAATGTTAGATTTCATTAGGTAAATACTATCCTTATAAATTCCAAATTAAAGCAGATTTTGAGGCCCAAAATGACCAATGGTTGGATCTCCTCCAATGTAGCTAAATTAATTATTACTAATCTCTAAGTTAGGATGATAGAGGTTGATTATTTTCTCACAATTTATCATTTCAATAAGAGTGAATTGGCAGTTTTGAATAGACGCTAAATAGCTATTTGATTTAGAAATATCATAGAAATTTTTATCATTTTGACTGAATCCAAATAAGTTTAGATTATAGATTGAGGCAGCCGAGTAGAATTTTATCTATCGAAACAAAGTGTTTATGATATCAAATTTCTTAAATATCGTATTTTTAAAGCGTATTAGAGGTGTCCTTTGCCCTTCTTAGAGATCTCTGAATAGTGGGAAAAATTATGATGTTTTCATGGCTGATACAACCCCACCTTAATCATGAAACCCTTTTGTGTTAATTCCATTAAAGTTAAACTCACCGTAAAAATCTTCTAGAAGAATTCCTCCTGTTGAGAAATCATCCTTATTTTATTCCAGACCTTAGTCGAATATCCAATTACTTGAAAAATCACAATTTTCAAAATTAACTTCAATTGCTCTCTTTACTCTCAATATACTAAGACTTCTGTTAATATCATTACTTGAAAAATAAGACTCATCTAATGATTGTTTACTTTTGATATTATTGAAGGTATATTAATCAATAGCTTATTTATCAGTTATCACGTTTGCATACAAAGAGGAATAAATTTTTAAGGCATCAGCAAACGAATTTCCATTTAATTTAAATACCTCATTCTTAAATTGAACTGATAGAAAACCTTCAATATTGACAATTGAACTTTTTAAGGAAGCATAGTTTTCGATGTATTGGTTGCCCCTTAACTGTAATATTTCTAAATTCATTGAGATTATGATATCTTAATAAGTTATCACTAGATTCTGATTATTTGTGTAGAGGTCTTTTGATTTGATATTGAGGAGACTTTACTAGTTGATGAGTGCTCCATATTACATAAAATCTAATTACTCTATGTAATTGATTTAATTCTGATGAAGAACCATTTCATCTAAATCAATTTCTTTACATTAAATACTTATTGCACCATGTACTGGCTAATTCCAACAGCCGATATTTTGAGTAAACAAATTTCCACTAATCAGAATTCCCCTACAACTTGGTAAAGAGTTAATGTTAGTATTCAAGACTTTCTTTTACTATTTAGTTACTTGAATCACATTTGATAGAGCAAATACCTAATTTCTAGTGAATTCATTACTTTAAATTATCAATGGATTATTTAAACTATCTTGAAGATCAATATGTAAGATACCGACCATCGCAATATTATTAGAAAACTTATTTTTCATGATAACTATCTTGTTTGAATGATTTCTTATTGATACCAATGTTTTTATCTAAACTTTACTCTATACACCGATGTAGTTTAGATACTCTGAATTATTTACTTGAAAATCACTAAATAATTAATCTGAGATTTAGCAGCCACCATCATACATGACATAGTTGTCAATGAAAGTTGAATTGAATAAATATACATCACCTTTAAATGTGTCAAGGTTTATAACTGATGCCTAATATCTTGAGCCGATTTCAGGATTAATTTTTACAGGATTGGTTTGCTTTTTCTTTAAGAAATGAAGTTGATTAAAACCAGAATTAGTTATCTCTATTTTGAAACAAATGGTATTCTAACAAGAACTCTGGGGATTAGCTTAATTTAATTTATTTCTGAGATCATTGAAGGCTTCTAAGACCTTATTTGTATAATTGATATGTGTCTGGTAATATATCTCATTAGGGTATCTTTAAAAGTTTAAGAATTTTAGCTTACTTTATTTTAGGGTATTGATAAATTTAACTTTAATTAAAGGATTTTCTGTAATTTTTAATTATCGAACCACAGGTTGATATTCTTTGAAATAGACTATTCTTAATTGTTATAGTCATACCAATTTCACTGACTTAAATCAATGAATTCATGTCGTAAAAGATATTGATAATTTCAACATTTTCAAGTAATAAAACTATTGGAAAACTAAGCTAAGGATTTTGAAATTCTTGTAATCTGAACATTGAGTTAGGATTATCTTTCTAGCAGTTTTCTTCTCTATAATAGAAATTTAAAATTTAGAAGTTTATTTAAATACGGTTATTTAGACAATATAGAGCAGTCATATGAACCTGGCTAAACGTTTGCTAAGGCTTGATCCTTAATCAAACAGCATTAAATTCGAGAATTTAAGCATGAATCAGCCCCAATATCATCAACTATATGTTAATTGTTAAAAATCAATTTACTTTGAATTACTGAATCGATAGAATCTATTACTACATTTCTTAAAATAAGACTTTAACTTATTACAAATTTAAACATCTCACCTCTCTTATTAATTATAGTTACTTTTTAATCTGTGCACTTAGAGGAAACATCAACAATTAGATCACTTTAATAATTACAAGGGAGATTTTGTAGAGTTATACTGTAGTTAATAAAACCTTAACCTTTGAATTGCTAGCTTATATAAGGATTCAAATTATTTCTTAAGACATAATGAATACCTTTGAATAAGTATATATTAATGATTGCGCTTGTATACTATGATCCTAGTTCAAAAGCCCTAGTTACTCCGTCAAATAAATCTTAAAATGGTTTATTGATTGATCCATCCTAGACTAGCAGAGGATTGTAATTGCTTGTTACAAATATCTTAATTGAACCAACAGCATTTATTTTAGCTTAACAAAAGCCAGTTTATTATTCAATATTTTAAATTGTGAGATATTGATTCGGTGTACAAGCAAGACAATCAGTTTCTTCATCACTAATACACTCACTACACGAAGAATGACATCATGCGCATTATGTCATGATTGGATTTTTCAACTCAGAAGAAAAAATTGTTTCAGGGTAGTATCCTAAGTCACATTTAAGTTAGCAGTGATGCTAACCTGGCATCAGGTAGCCTATCTTACAAATATCACATTTATTCTTAGTAGAGCATGTTTGACACATATCAAACATCTCAATTTGATCTTAATCAAAGCATTCTAAAAACTATCAAATCAGTTCAATCTTACTTTAACAAGCATTATTAATATCTTTGAAATATCCATCTATACATTCATCACATTAATCATAGTTTAGAGAACACCTTTTACAATTTTAAACCTTGCATTTTTCACAATTATCTGTTGAAGTATCTTATCGATTTAACCGATAACCTTCTTTACAGGCAATGCAATCATTTATATTAGAACTATTAGATTGGAGGCATCCACTCAAAGCTACGTTAGTGTTTAAATCTAAATTATTTAAATGTTTTACTATAATTACTGCAAGGACTGTATATTGAAATGTCTGAGTAGCAATTTGTGCACTATGTTGATGATTATGTTGAACAATCTTAGCATCTTTCATCTGAGCATCTATTGCAAGTCTTGAATGTTTAGAGGACTGAATTTGAGCTCTAATAAGGAATTCCTAAACTCAATTATGAAGGCCCTTTCAAGTATCCATCTGTTTGATTAAATAAAAAAATAATATTCTTACTATACTCTCATGCACATTCCGTGCATCCATATTTAAGATTGCAGTTATTGCAATTATCTCCACAGTCTATAAGGACAATTATTCGATTATTCATTTTATCATTTATCTTTACTTACAGTCGCAGTTTTGAGTGAATGGGTTATTAAAATAGGATCAACTTACAATCCCACAATCATTTACACACAAAGATATGCTCTTAATATTTTCGTATTTATCAAATGGAAAGGTTAGCAGATACAATCCATTTTAGCAGGATTTGCACTTTAGTAATGGATAAGTAACTTCATTAACATCAAAAAGCTCCTGAGTACAAGTTTTACATCCATTCAAATGTATATCACAAGCTAATATGAGTTTTATGATGCAAAAGTTAGTGTATTATTGTTACTTACATCGACAAGATTAAGTTTCAATTGCAAAGAATTGATCATAGTCACCTAAAACAATAACCGACTTTTTTTAATATTACATTATATTTCGGCCTAAGTCATTGAAAGCTAAATTATGCATGTTATCAAAAGAACACATTGTGCTAATTTCATTTTTGAATTCATTATTTAAATCAAACTCCTTTAGCTGTGACTTTATTCTATAATGGGGTTTTGGGGTTTTGGGGTTTTGGGG